ATATTTTTTATAACGTTTTGGGTAAAATTGTTCTTGTTTATCATTTGGTGCATATATTGTTACCATCAGTATCTGTTTTTGATCCATCATTATTTCCACCATTAATATTCTCCTCTCTTCATCCACCTAGATTTGTTTGGGGTTCATCATTTCTTTAATGTATAAACTATTCCTCTTTTCTTTTGAAGTGCTAATGCAAAGTGAAGTTTACCAATTTCTGGTTGTTCTAACAATTTATAATGTCTCTTAATGTGTGTTTCTTGAAGACAAATTATATCCATTTTTAATTTTTGTAATCGTGTAAAGATTTTTCTCCTTTTTGAAGGAGAATGTAGTCCATTTATATTCATTGACAAAATCCCACTCTCCTCCATCTCTTTCAATTATATCTAGGTCTTAATCCTCTAGTCAATCTTATCTGTCTCTGATCTCTTGGTCTTGCTCCTTCTTCTGTATATGTGTTTTTAATTTCTTTCTCCTCTCTTGGTTTGACTGCTCCTTCTACTGCCATTTCTTCCTGCTTCTTTGTTTCTGTCTTTGTACCGGATTCAGGGTCACCTCTTTCCAAAAATGCTCTATGGTTGTCGAAGAACCATTGCTTTAAGTGGCATCTCCAGACTATATCTTTTCGTATCCCAGTAAATTAAAATCCCTTCTGAAATCAGCCATCTGAAATTCACTCCTTTTTCAATTAATTTCCTAGTTAGAAACTGGTATTCTCTTCGGGATTCTCTTATTCTCCTAGGAATTTGTTTGAGGACTACAATTTCTTTTTCTTTGTATTTCAAATGTTCGTCTCTTACGCTTCTCAAAATCTCATCTCTTGTAGATCTTTTAAGATACCTAACATGTACTTCCCTGGGGACTTTATTTCTTCTAGCATAGCTTGAGTTGACTCGATAGATCTGGTCTAATTCTTCCATTTGCTGTTTCCCAGTTCCTAATGTGTCTGCCAATAATTTGGTTATCAAGCCTAGGAGATCCTCTTCTTTATCTTCCATTATATTTTGAAATCTTAAAAAGTATGAGGCTCTTTCCATCTCCATCCCAGCTATCGAGTCTTCTAGTTCTTCATTTATTTGGATCAACTTCTGATTTTCATCTTTTAAAACTTCTAGTTTATGGTCAACCTCAGTTGATTTATCTTCTATTTTTTAAAATCTTTGTTAATTATCTGTGATCATCTGTTTAACATTTTCAAATTGAGAATCCATATTGTTAATTTTTTGATTCATTTTATCAAAATCACTTTTCAACTCCTCATGGTTTCTCAATGTGACCACCATTGCCTCTTGAATTGCTTGTAGGGTCGCTTGAGTGTCCTTTTGGAAGGTATTAGCCTTTTCTTGTTGAAGCATTGTATCAATTGATCTCTGATAGACTGGACTTGCAGAAGCCGAAGAGGGAGCAGAAGATCTTTTTTTTCCAACTTTAGATAAGGGAGCGCTCATCTTTATCTTTAAATCATACATTGTAATCCACTAAGTAAGTCAAAATTTATAATCCAATAGGCTCCTAACAAATAGGAGAGGTAAACAATAAAAATGGTAAATGGTAAAAAAAAGAGCAAAAGGGAAAAAAGAAAAAATAGGGGGGAAAAGAAAAAAAATCAAAATTTGTAATCCAAAGTATTCTGTTCGGAGGGATTTCTTGTTATTCACTCTTTCAAAACAGCTTGTAAAGATTCCAGGTCAAGCTATATTTGTAATCCAGGGAAGTCCGATGAATTCAAACACAGTTTTTATTTATAATTGTAATCCATCCTGTAAGACAGGGCAATCCAAAAAGAGTCTTTCTTTTCCATCCACAATCTCCAGGACTTTAAATTCCAAGGACACCAAAATGTTTAAACTGTAAGATATGTCTGGGCATACAGCCAAGTTTTACTCCAATCAGAGCAACTCAGTAAAATAAAGACAAAAAGAAAAGCAAGACTGCATGTAGTTCTCAGTTTTGCCATTAGATGTCATTAGATGTCCATTCCCACCATATTTTGAAAAAGTTTAAGAAGTTAAAAACCCGATGGTTTCCAAACAAGAAATAAACAAAAAAAGATTTATAAAACCAAAAGTTTTCCAAGTTATCCTTTTTTGCCTCAATCATCTTCACAATATTGTTATAAGTCAGTTTTAATTTCCCAAAAGCTTAAACCACCACTTATAGTTCATGAGGGAGGGGTAAGGGAAAAATCCCTCCTCCCTGGAGCTTAGGGATGCTTTAAAATGCTGTTTCCCAGAACCGATATTTCCACTTGTAGAGAGATAAGGAAAGTAGTCTCACCCAGATTGGTTGTTTTGCCTTCCATTTTAAAATTCGTTGTCTCCAATGATCAGCTGCTTCTGGCAGACTGCATGAGTGCGGTCAGCCTTTCTTCCTGCCGGTCCCGAGGGCTCCTTTGGATCAAGCAGGCCAGCTATCGCTAACCCGCGATCTGCAAAGTTTCACGCCTTGGCCAGTCACCTCTACAGGGCAACTTTCGGTCCTATTGGACTCCCCAGCTGGTAGAAATCGGGCTTGGGGAAGGGCGATTCATTCCCCAGCGCCCATCTTGCAGTGATGTCACCAGAAACTCCTTACGATTCCTGTAAGGCTGGGGAAAGCCTTTTTTGATGAACTGAATACAATAATATTGAAATTTATCTGGCAAGGAAAAAAAGCTAGAATTAAAGTGAAAATGCTACAAGAAGTGAAAGTGCAGGATTTGGACTGCTGGACTGGAGGTTATACTACCAAACAACTATTTTAACATGTCTTAAGGAATGGATAATGCTTAGAGACAAAAGACTATTATACCTAGAAGGGCATGACCTACAAATTGGTTGGCATGCCTTTCTGTGGTATGGGAAGAACAAAATACATAGATACTTTCAAAACCATTTTATAAGCAATGCACTTCTTTCAGAATGGGAAGAAATAAAAGAAAACATTTATATTAAGATACCTGAATGGCTTTCAACAATGGAAGCTTTTGCTTACCCAAATTTAATTAACTACGATAAAGTTGTGACTTATAAAGATATTTTGGACGATGAAGGAAAATTGAAAGACAGACAAAACTTACAAGAACAAGGTGATCTAGCATGGTGGCCATATCTGCAAATTAAAATGAGATATGAAAAAGATGGTAAAACAATGGGATTTTATAAAGAACAGATAGAATTTGATCAGATACTGCTAAAAACAGATGAAAAGTTGATTAAGAAACTCTATAGATTTCTGTTAAACTTAAAGATGGAGGAAGAACAAGTAAAAGAAATAATGATAACTTGGGCAAAAAACTTTGGATATAATATAGAATTAGAAGATTGGCAAAAGTTATGGGAAAGAAATATTAAATTAACTAAAGCAGTGGCATATAAAGAAAACTTATATAAAATGTTTTACAGATGGCATATGAGATCAGTGAGATTAGCAAAAATGTTTAAAAATACTTCAAACAACTGTTGGAAATGCAAACAAAAAACAGGTACTTATTGTCATATCTGGTGGACATGCCCTAAAGCAAAAAAGATTTTGGATTAAAATACATTTATGTTTGGAGAAACTGACTAAAAATGAATAGACTTTAAATCAGAATTATTTTTGTTAGGAATAATAGGAGCTAATTATGAGAAAGATTGCACATATTTAATACTATATGTACTAATGGCAGCAAGAATTGTATTTGTCCAACATTGGAAAAATGAAAATTTACCAGCTGAAGAAGTACTAATTAAGAAAACTGTAGAGTTTGCAGAAATGGATAGATTGACTTTAAATATAAAAGAGAAAGAAGACTCAGTGTACTTTAGAACATGGGATAATTTGTATCAATGGCTAGAAAAATGAATTAGAGAGAAAGGAATGTGATATGTAATTTTGAATATATATTAGCAAGAAGAAGGCTATTGAGTTATTAATTAACATATTGTTTATGATAATTAACTATTATCTATTATTGTTTGTTAAACACATGAATCCAGACATTATGCTGTTTGCTAAATATTGAGAATGTTATTTAGAAAAACCCCAACCCTAATCCTAACCCTAACCCAAATCCCAACCTCAACCCCGACCCACCTTATTCCTAACCCTATAAAAACTAATAAATCTATACAAAAAAAGAAGTGAGGCTTTGATTGCACAGTTGCAACTGTCATGTTGACTTTTTGGGGTGCAGATTCCTTAAAATAATAAACCCCAAACATTCTATTATTTCATCTTATTTGTAATTTCTGTACGTTTTTGTCTTTTGAGTTCAATTCTCTATCAATGTCAGGACCCACTTCAATACCTCATCCCAAGAAAGCAGAACTCATGGAAGCAAGCTCTTCCAAAAGGAACTTTTATTAGGAGAAGCTGATAGCAGGCATACTAGACAGGATCTGAGGGGCTCCCATACAGATCGATAGGTTAAAGTGTCCCCAAGCAAACCCCACCCCATAGTTCATCCGGACGGTTCAAACCAGCCAATCCCCAGGTTTTAAGTCCATTGTGGGAAAGGGGAGATAACATCGGGCCGGCTCTGGTCGTGGCAGTGATGTTTAGATGACTCTTCGCACCTTCTCTTGAGAACAGAGAGATAAGCCAGGTTCCGGAGGTTGTAATTCTTTCTTCCTCCCCCTTTGCTAGTTGACAGTTTAGGGAGAAGAAGTACAGAGAGAAATAGTGCAGGGAAGCGAAGTGTTACATTGTAGCAATAGAGAAAGAATGCAGGAAAGCAAAGTGTTACATTGTAGCAATAGAGGAAGCTAAGGCAATAAACCTGGGATCCTTCCCCCTTCCCCTCTAGGAGTATGGCAGAACCCAGGGAGAGAAGATAATGGAGTTTGGGAGAGAGAAAGAGAGTAAGGGAAGTATGAAATATGAGAGAAGAGCAAGGGAAGTATGAAATCAGATAGATATGGGTTCTGACAATCATATCCCTTCATTGTCTTTTGCTCTGGTGCTAAACTTTCCATGCGTTTTGCATTACCTTGATCAAGTTCTTTCTTTTTTCTTTCTTTTTTCCTACCCTACAGGAGTAACAACAGTGCTAACAATGACAACGCTAAGCATCAGTGCTCGTAATTCCTTGCCCAAAGTAGCTTATGCCACAGCTATGGATTGGTTTATTGCGGTTTGTTATGCATTTGTGTTTTCTGCCTTGATAGAATTTGCCACTGTAAATTACTTCACAAAAAGAGGATGGGCGTGGGATGGAAAAAGCATAGTCAATGATAAGGTGAGTGATCAAAAAGATGTTTAAGGTTTTTTCCAATTTGAACAAAAATCAATTTAGCAGCATCTCCCATTAATAGTTTTCCATTACTGAAAAATAAAGTCTTAAATCAATATGAAGACAGGGTATGTTAAAGCAAGAATGATTAGAAAAAGAAGTAGAGAGTTTGGGTCTGCACTTCAGCAGAAATTAAACAGCTCATATGGAACTTTTCTTTACCTGCTTCATCTTGAAGAAACAAATATTATCCCAAGGCTGCCCATAAATTAAACCATTAGCACGTTTATAATTGTTTAGTTTCCTTTGAAGTTTCCTTCAAAACTTTCAACCACATTTCATTATCTTCAACAATTTTTATAAGGAAAAACCAAAGATACCACTGAAAGAATTTTAACCATATTAAGCATGATAAATGAAGAGCTATCATAGATTTATATAATCTTTTATGTAATTGTTCAGATTCTCATTTGACTAAAGCAAATGTTTTATTTTTAAAAAAATTGTTTCCGTTTTCAGAGATGTTTGATCTCAGTAGAGAAATTCTGTGTTTAAGATGGATAAATGTAGTCCCCAAAAGGCTTTAGCAGCAATAATAATAATAAATATAGGTTTAACAAACCTTTTTATTTATCAGGAAGCATTTTTTAATGAAACACAAAATAGAACATCTGGTTCTATTGATCCATCTGAACCAAAACATGTTTGTGATGTTTTCAGTTGAAAGTAGAATGAAAAAAGCCTATTTTGTTCTGGGATATGAACCAAAATGTTGTTGTTCTGGGAGAAGAGGTTCTAGGGATGGATATGAATGGAAAAAAGCCAAAGATAAAGACTTTGGCATGTTATTCTAGAGCCAATGAGTCAGGGACAAAGGAAGATTGGAATAGTGCTGGTACAAAGACCATGCAGAGGAGAAAATAAAAGTGGTGTGATGTCCACCAGCCTTGCCCTGCTCATCCAATAAAATCCCTTTGGAATCCCTGTTTAACCGAGCCCTTGAACAATCCAAAATTTCTGGTTTTCGTTTCTCCAGATGTATGGCTGACTAAAACAAAATAAAAATAAACTGGATTTTTAAGATCTCTAAAAGGCCGTTTTAAATTATTTGGCATCTGCAGTTCTTTTTTAAAAGAATTTTCTTCTTTAAAAAAAACTCCTTTTTTAGTACTAAAATAGCTAATGCTATTTTTTTTAAAAAAAGATTTTTGCTTCTGCAAATTCTATTATGTGTACAAGAAATTTGAGAAAATTAAAAAAGGTATTTACCAGTTACATAGCAATAAGAAAACAGAAGCATTCCTAACATGCTAGTAAAACCATAGTTGAGGTGGACTTCATGTGAATATACTTTACTTTAAACTGTAATTCAAGTAAAAGTATGGGTAATTGCAAGGAAAAGGATGAAAGAGAAGAGGAAAATTGAACCTCAGAATTTGGATTTTGTATCATTTACCTGCTGATTTATAGATATCAGAGCACTGATGCCCTTTTGGGGATGGGAAACTGTCACTAACCTGTGTTTTATAAACTATAAAATCAAAAGTAGAAGGGAAAGGACTAATTCTGAATTTTCATGAATCTGTGACATTAACTTTAGGGTTTTGCAATTTAGAATTATTCAGATAGCTCAATTCCAGTTTAGTTGATGGTTCTTCCATTCTTCCTCACCACCAATTGTTTCAAGGTCTTTTAGTACAAGGGCTCCAGAAAGTTACAAGCAACAAGAACAGATGACATTTATTCTGCCATTCCTCCAAAACAGCTTTGACTAGCCTTGGAAAACTAAGCAGGTTCAGACCTAGTTAGCAATTGAGAGACAACCATGAAATTCTAGAGCTGACTCAAGTTGGAAAAAACATCCTGGAACAAAGCAATTCCAACCATTTCCATATCGTGCTGTTCTTATAGTGAAGAACAAAGAGAAAAGAAAGAAAGAAAGAAAGAAAGAAAGAAAGAAAGAAAGAAAGAAAGAAAGAAAGAAAGAAAGAAAGAGGTATTTCTCATCATTGCAGGTGCTAGTTACCGTGCAGATCTTCTAACTTACTCCTTTTCTTGAAGTATAGCAACAAATAATATATCTATGCAGAATGAAATAATATAAATCTATGATATTTTCTCCATCTCTAGATACTGCAGAATAATTTGTTTTACAAAATAATAATTAAAAATATTCTGCCTACTTGCATAAGAGTTGGTTCACTTTGAAGCATAGGTACCTAGAGAAGCTTCCAATTTGGTCAGCATGAAAGCAGCATTGTTCCATCACAGTGAAGGAAATGAATCATGTCATCATTGAAGAGTCACACATAGAGTACACATGGCCTTAGCCAAAAGTCCATGAAACTTTCTATAATGGCAGTACCATAGTCAGTGAGGTCAATCTGAGGCACAATTATTGTGAATTGAATGAACTAGATTTGTCTGTTGGTGCAGAAAAATTTGAAGATATTTAATAATAATAATATCTTTTAACAGAAAAAAGAAAAGGCCTCAGTCATTAAGAAAAACAATGCCTACGCAGTGGCCGTTGCCAATTATGGACCAAACATCACCAAGGACTCTGTTCTCCCAACCATCTCCAAGAGTGCCACTACCACTTCAGAATCCCACAAAGCCAAACAAGAAACCAAACCACAAGAAGCAAAGAAAACATTTAACAGTGTTAGCAAAATTGATAGAATGTCCAGAATAGTATTTCCAGTTTTATTTGGCACATTCAACTTGGTGTACTGGGCCACATATCTAAACAGGGAACCTGTTTTGCATGGGTTTGCACCATCACACTAAAACCTTAACTTTATGCTGAGGGTATCTAACATCATTATGATCAAGTTGTTTTCCTATGTACACTACGACTAATAACTGCTAATCAGTGAACTAATATGTACAGGATGTATATAGGTATCATGTTTGTTTATCTCCAAAGGAGGTGCACAGAGCTTAGTCATGGGATCTGTAAGCAGATGGCACCCATGGCAAATATATTCTGCTCTCCTATTTATGTGAGTTCTCCTAAATTTGGATTTAACTATGCTGAATTATATCCATACAAACCATATATAGTCCTACATAACTATTTAGTAACACTATTTTTTTAATTTAAAGTTTAAGATATTTTTCTATGAAACAACTGATTCTACTTTAATGCAAAGAAGCTACCATTTAAAAAGAGAATGATTTTTTTAAAAAAAGAGTAATCTTAATAATTTCTTACGGTATCAGTGCCCATGTAAATATTATAGATGTGTGGTGAGCATAAGTACTCTCCTGTTAGCAATCATTAAGAATGCAAGTCGTGCATAAAAGGATCAGAATGTCAGAGATAATAATTTCTTTTAATCAAGTTTTAAAGTTGCTGTGGACTTATCCTGTGATGTGGTCAGTGGTCTGTTGATAAGCAAAAGGGTTGCACTTGGAGATTACTTCCAACAATACAAGGAAATAATTGAATCTATACCCATTATAGAAGATGTTGACAACATGCAGAGAAAACATCTATGAGACCCAAAACTAAACTACTAAGCATGTGTTGTTGATTCCTAGTTATATTAATTCAATCATTTGTTTTAGTTATTTGCCCTCTTCTGTCTCCAGTGCAAAATTGTGCAGAAGTTCAAAGAGAAACAATATTGATTAATAAGACAACCTCCATATATTCAAGTCACTGTAAACGTTTTTGTAGATTGCTTCATGCGAGCACCTTTTTGTGGCCCTTTTGGTTCTGAAATGTATAGTTTATTACAGACAAGAGATATTTTTATGCCAACTGGGACAACAAATTTGGAAGCCTATGTTTTAAACCAGCAGAGGCTTAAACAGGATAGAATTTAACCAGAGAATTTAAGGAAGACTCGTTTCTTCCCAGAGAGATATACTTCCTATTAGAAATAGAAAAGGCTATTGAAAATAGAACAGCAATATATGCAGACATCACTGCTGAACTGCATGGATATTTTTGAACATTAACATGAAGATTTATTGTTACTTGGAAAAAGATTCCTTGTCTGATGAATTTAATGATTTAACATCCAAACAGAATTTCTCTCTTCCTGTCCTGTCCTGTCCTGCCCTGCCCTACCCTGCCCATTCTTGTCCTGCAGAATTACTTTTTCTCTCCTTTCCTTTCATTCAATTTTTTGTTCCCTTCATTCCATTTCTATCCCTTCATTTTTTTATTTTTTTTTATTTTTTTAATAAAGATTTTATTGATTTTCTTTTACATACACATGTTAATTTTTTAACCAACCAGCAGTCTGGGCTCAGCTATGCTAATATATATTCAATTCCTAATCCTTCATTCTTTCTTCTAGCCAACAATAAAATAAGTCCCAAGTTTGGTAGTAATCTATGTCTTCTTTATCTTTCAATCTCATAGTTAATCTGTCCATCTCTGCTCATTCCAATATTTTTCTGATTATTTCTTTCTCCTTCGTTCTTCCTATATTACACAAAGATTATTCCTGCTGCTGTGCTAACGTGTAAAATCAAATATAGACTTTGCTTATTAATCTTTTCAGGCATTATATCTAGTAAGAAAAGTTCAGGTTTAAAATAAACATGCTTGTAACTTATATGTTTCGTCTTTTATCTTCAGTCCTTTAATTTCTGTATCTTGTCTAATCCTTCTATTTAGAACTTCCAAAGTGAAGATAAATAATAATAGGGATAATGGACATCCTTGCCTTGTGCCTTTTCTTATCTCAAAGCTCTCAGTACAGTCTCCATTCACAATCACTTTTGCTGTCTGGTTGCCATATATTGCTTTTATCATATTTGTAAAGTTCTTTCCAAAGTCCATTATTTGTAGTTGTTGAGTCATAAATTGCCAAGAAACATTGTCAAATGCCTTTTGGGCATCTAAAAATATTAATGCTAATTGTTTCCCTGGATGTAGTTCATAGTATTCTAATACATCCATTATCACTCTTAAATTGTTTTTAATTTGTCTCTTTGGTAAAAAGCCGTTTTGATCTGGATGTATGAATTCAGCTAAGTATTTTTTCAGTCTCTCTGCCATTATTGAAGTAAAAATCTTGTAATCCACATTAAGTAATGAAATCGGTCTATAATTCTTAATATAAGTCAAATCTGTGTCTTCTTTTGGTATTAAAGTAATATTTGCTTCTATCCATATATTTGGAAGCTTAGCCTCTCACAAGAGTCCATTAAAAACATCTTTCAGTGGTTCGCTTAATACGTCTTGTAAATTTTTATAGAGCTCCGCCGGAAGCCCATCTGGGCCACGTGTTTTCCCATTTTTTTGTCATTTTATAGCCTCTCATATCTCCATCATTGTAATCCTTTCTTCTAACATAGTTTTAAATGCCTCTGGAATTTTGGAAAGTTTACTTTCTTCCAGATATTGAGCCCTTCTCTCTCTTGAAATCTCTTCTTTATCATACAATTTCTTATAGTATTCCTTAATTATCTTTTTTATTTCTTCATTTTTGAATTGTAGACAACCTTTTCCATCTACTAACTTGTGTATTATTTTCTTCTCCTTCTGTTTTTTAAGTTAACCATCTTCCTGGTTTATTAGCATTTTCAAAAAAGTTTTGTTTTGCTCTCTTTACCTGATCTGCCAGTTTTTCTGAGTCCAACAGATTTAATTTGTGTTTTATTATTTCCATTTCTCTTTTCAAGGTCTTTTTTGGTAGGGTTTTTTGTAGTTCTGCTTCTAATTTCCCAAATTTTGCTTTTAGTAGTAGATATTGCTGTCTTCTCTGTTTATTTTTCTTTGCCATATACATTATAGCTATGCCTCTGAAGTACGCTTTGGCTGTATCCCATAGGTTTTGTAATGATGTATCTTCTTTTTTGGTTTCTTTAAAGAAGAATTCCATTTCTTTTTTCACTAACTCTATAATTTTTTTTTCTTTTAGTACTGATTGATTTAAAGTCCATCTTGGGTTTTTTTCTATTTCTTTCCATGTCACTTTTAAAGGATTATGGTCCGCCCATGTACCTATTTTTATCTCAATTTCCTGTATATCCATCCTCAATTCAGATGTCATCCAAATCATATCAATTCTTGACCAGGATTTGTGGCTATTTGGTTTTTGATATTCAAATTTTTTATTAATTTTCAAATAAACAAACAAGTTACAAATATGGTATACATTAAACAAAAGAAAAAACAAACCCCCCATATCTATTCAGAGATGCTCAGCAGCCCCCCCGCCCGCGTCCACCCTCCCTTTCACCCTTCCTACCTACTTCCCTCCTCCTCTCTTCCTCCTACCTACACCTCTCTCCTCCTTCCTCCTCTCAACTACCCTACACATCCCACCTCCTTCCTTTCCTCATCCTTCGGACGCAGTCTGGGGGCGCCAGCCGAGCATCTCATCTTCTTCAAATACATTATTTCACTATAACATTTTAATATACCAAAATTTATATTTACATCTTAAATCCCCTCCCCCCCCTCTCCCCTGGACTTCCCGGAATCGAATACAGGGTTATGCACATGTCATCCCAGATCTAAATAAAACTACCCAAACATAATACAATCAAATAACTCTAATAAAAAAAATATCAACTTTAAATAAATATAAATATAATATATATATAATATAATAATAAAATAAAAACAATATAAAATCTACTCAAAAGCTATATAGTATTTGTTCATTTCATACTTTCTCTGAATATAATCTATCCATCTTCTCCAAACCAGAATAAATTTTTCTTGAGATTGATCTTTCAAGTATGCGGAAATCTTAGCCATTTCTGCAAAATACGACACCTTCATTCTCCAATCATCCATAGTAGGTAATGCATTCTTCTTCCAGTTTTGAGCAACCAATAACCTTGCTGCCGTTATACAATACAACATCAAAATCATTTCTCTAGAATTTAAATCTTCCATAATACCCAAAAGAAATAATTGCGGTGTAAATTTTATCTTTCTCTTAAAAATCTGTTGGATATTCCACCAAATCTTAATCCAAAAAGCTTTTACATCCCTACATGTCCACCAAATGTGATAAGTTGCATCTAAATTACCACATCTCCAACATTTGGGCTGTAGGTTAGGATACATACAAGACAACTTCTGAGGGTCCAAATGCCATCTATAAAACATTTTATAAATATTTTCCCTTAAATTCTGCGCTTGAGTAAATTTCACATTTCTTACCCAAATTATTTCCCATGTATCCAACAAAATTGGTTCTTGAATGTTTTGAGCCCATTTAATCATACAATCTTTAACTAATTCTGTTTCAGAATCCAATTCTATTAAAGCACTATAAATTCTCCTAATATGAGCTCTACTTTGATCTTTAATCTGCTTTATCAAATTCACATCCTCCAAAGTTAAACCAAGCTTTTGATCTATATGCCACCTATCTATCAATTGACAATATGAGAACCAGGAATGGAGAATATTATCTCGTTTCAAATCATCCAATGATTTAAATTGCCAATCCTGCCCCCTCAAAATAAGTAAATCCTTATAAGAAATCCCCTCCAATTTAACTCCTCTCATAATGCCTTGTACTGCATGTTCTGGAGTTGCCCATATTGGAATTTTAGAATTTAATTTATAATAATACTTCTTCCAAACACGCAGAAGTGCAGTCCTTATGATATGGGTCTTGAAAACTTGATCAACTTTCTTATCAAAAAATAAATAAGCATGCCATCCATAAAATAAATCCCAACCTTCCAGATTCAATATATCTCTATTAGTTAAGTTAATCCAATCACTGATCCAAGTTAAAGCCACCGCATCATAATATAATTTTAAATTCGGGGCTTTAAGTCCCCCTCTTTCCCATGCATCT